CTGAGCTTTGAGCTCGTCTGGAAATCGCGATGTTAAATGGGTAACTAAAATCGAAATTCCGTCCGGGTCACAACCACAGATGAAACAACCATAGGTTGTATCCCGTTTCGGTTTCGTAAATTTCAGAATACATAAAGCCACAACATGCCGACAGCAAATCTTGTTTAGACTATATATGGCAAATAGATGATTGTCTCTTCTCTATCATAAAAAAAAAACAATTATTGTCGAAATTAAAAAAAAAAAAAAAAAAAAAAAAAAAAAAATAAAAAAAAAATAAATTTATAAAAAATTTTTTTTTTTCCCCGGGGGGGGCCCCCCCCCCCCCCCCCCCGGGCCGGCGGAAAACCCCCCAAGCGGGGGGGGGGGAAAAAAAAAAATTAAAAAAAAAAAAAAAAAAATTTTTCTTTTTTAAAACAAAAAGTTTTTTTTTTTTAAATGTTTTTTCCCCCGGAAAAAAAAAAGAAAATTTTTAAATTTTTTTCAAATTTTTGAAAAAAAATAATTACGACTTTGAATATATTCGTGTCTAATTTATGCAGTGGAAACATTTTTGAGTATTACAGTAACAATAATAGTTAACTGCAGTAAGTTCGCATTAAACTTGCTGAACTTGATTCTGTGCATACAAAAAAAACGAACTTCAAAAACACTTCGTCATGGTTTTTAACTGCACACAAAAAAATCTGCAAAAGCATTGGTATTCCCCACATTGTGGAAATATTTCCTAAATTACATATCAATCTTCTCGAAACACAACAGCAGTTGGGAGTTAGGTTAGCTACACACTGAGCTCTAACAATCATTTATGTGTAGAGAATAACTAGTGTAGAGAGTATAATTTGATACTAGGAATAGCCATTATCATTTTCATAACATTCGGGCTGTAGAAAATCATCCAAAAGACTAGTACGCAAACTAAAAGTAATATATTTTCCGTCCTAACGTATTTAAAATGTCTCTTAAGTATATCTATACTAATATTATAAAGATTGCACGTTTGTTTGTTTTTTTGTAATCTCAGGAAATAATGGCTCGAATCGGAAAATTATTTTTGTGTTGGACCATTTATGGAGGAAGGCTTCACCAGAGTTTCCCAAACTTTTTTTGTGTCGTAGATCCCTTGACCCCCTACTTACCTGATATTGATTTCCTGTAAACTTCTAACTGTAGTGAAGTTTAGTGAAACAAAGTATGTTAATTTATACAGTTTTTAATTCAATTTAATTAAAGGTACTCGAAACAAAGTTTTGTGTCTGTTTAATTTTTTACTTATATTATAAGATACAATGATGTAAGTAAATAGGCACTATCGGTGTATGTGTTGAGATCCACTATCGTAGACCCCCATTTTTATTTAATGGACCCCCAAATTTTTTTTTGCTGACGAAGACCTATTGCAGGTGGTCATAGACGATATAGACCACTTTAGGAAGGACTACTTTAGACGATTCCTATTAAAATTGGATCGTAGAAATATAATTGTATAAAAAGCCATAAAGAAGGTATAAATAGTAATTATATAAATAATAACTCATATTTAACTAGATCAGGTAGTTCAATAATGAAAAAAGTTTTTAATGATTTTATTTTTTCTTTAACGGTAATCATGGTATTGTTTATTAACAACACTATTCACTGTGTACATCAATAAATTCAATACAATATCTCAACGATTTAAAATCCATAATCGAAATCGATAAAAATCGATTACAAAATTCGATAGAATAAGCGATCGATTGTGTTGACATTGAATCAGTCAGCCTAGATCTTCGTCCCGCGCCCCTCGCTCTTACCACCGTTAACATCCTAAAGAACGTTTCTGCGCAGAGTTTCGCGCTTCGATCAGGCCAAGTTACACCGGCCGTATTGTATATGTCTATCTTTTATGATTAACATGCAAGAACGACGGGACGCGGACGACGTCAACATTTTGGTGCCTTAGGAAAATGATATTTACAATTATTTCAGATACTCATTATGTTCATGTTAACATTTCTAATGGCTGCATAATAGTCGCTACTACATACATTCACTTTTGTGTATTGTTTATGTCGCATTTTAAAGACGCGTACCTATAAAACATGTTACCATTTGCGCTCAGTGTACCTAAAACTTTAGAAGCGGTTAATAAAAGATTTTTCTTTGTCGACCAATTATTGTTATTGTTCAATAACAACTGAGTTCTTTATATAACGGTAAAAAGTACTTCGCAAAAAGTTTAACGCGATAAACAAACAGTGGAATTATTTATTAGCAGAATCTATAGTAAGAGCCTATTTATGCTAACTTATAGTTATGATAAAAATATGAAGTTTTTAACTTGGACTGTATACCTGGCAACACTGTCAAGATCCATGTTTCATCGTTTATAAACATTTTTATCAGATAGCAGACACTTGCTTTAACCTACGTTTGTATAACATTATTTACAATCAATAAAAAAAAATTGTTTGGAGGGAAAATAAACTTCCTCCCTACCCCCTTGGGCGTAGGGTAATCACATTCCTATGCCTGTTTCACTGATCGATTTTATTTACAGGCAAGTGCCTGATGAGATTTCTATGTTTTGTAAACAATATTGTGTCATCTATTGTTTCGGGGTTCGAAACCAGGATCTCTTGCACTTAACGCACGTTAACACGTTCTGCCAATTACGTACAGAGGCAGTGAAATTTAAAAAATGAGAAACATTATTTTTATTTAGGTGTACTGGTGGATATACGGCTTAGGTAAAGATAAATATTCGTGTGGTGATAAAGTTTTAAAAATGAAACAGCACGAGAGTTAGCTTGTGTTATTAAATAAGCTGGACCAAATCGTGCTTATAAAATGCTGTAAATCAATATTAAAACCTAGTTAATTAATAACTTTTAATTGTCAGAAGAAGATCAATGTATCTATTAAATGCTTCTGGTTATGTCTCAACTTGAGGTAATTATAACTTTAACTCGAAATAAAATATAAAATCTACTTAAACCAGTATTAAACCAGATGTATAATTAAAATATCATCTGGTGTCGTCTGTTTTATGAATGTTATTATCATATTTTATTGCTATAAATCTGCGTATTTAGAAACTTGTTAATTTCCTTGTTTTCTTAGTTATGATGTTATTTTTAAAGTTAATCTCTTAAAAATGTTTACAAGCACGGCCTGTATATTTTTCTCTAAATTATTTCTATATTTTAACCTATTAAAGTACCTGACTGGGAATATTTCCTCTCTCATATGAGGAAGTGTAGTATGGTTCGGAGTTAAGACGCACAACGCTATCCCACGGAGGGCTGAAGAGTTTGTTTGTTTGAATGCTCTTTACTCAGGAACTACTTAATTACTTAGTTAATAATTGGTTCGAATTGAAAAAATCTTTGTGTTGGTTAAATCATTTATCGACGATGGCTTTAGGTTATATATAACATCACGCTAGGCCAAAAGTGACACAGTGGAAAATGTGGAAATATAGTTTAAAAAATATTCATTTTTAAGGGCGTTCGATGAGTGCGGTGCGAAAACGGTTTAAGAAACCAAAAAATATGTATGAAAGAATGAGGTTTGTGAAACCAAACACTATGTAAGAACCAAAGGTTTCTCTTTGAATGATCTAAAAAAATGTCCCCGACAATATAAGTCTATCTTCAAAGATTGACTTGCAAGAACCACGGGATGCGGAACACGTCGTTGGTGACAGCTAGCTACTAATAAGAGCCCAAAGATATAATTTTTATTGTATTAGTTGATATACTATTAAAACATGAAGTAAACAAATGTTGAAATATTAGAAAACAATTTCATAACAATAATATTGTAGCAACCTTGACGTTAGCGTAAGAGACAAGAGTGCGCTACTTTTTTCTTTTTTAGACTGTCGAAATAAATAACAAATGTATTATTAGGCTTAGACGCAATACTTCTTGGTCACGTGAAGTTATATTATATTACGATTTTATATATTAGAAGGTCAAATATCCAAGCTCTAAAACATTTTAACAAGATGTCCTGTCGACCTAATTTTTCTTTGGATATTCGGAGATCCACAGATTTAATCCCGTGATCCAGACGAAATTGCGATATGCCTATTCTCCATTAAATATCCGGATTTCCAGATGAAGTCCAACGCTTTTGAGAAAATGTATAAATTGATTTGAAAAACATATACATATAACTAGTGTACTGTCTGTAATTTACGCGGTACAAATTTAAATAAAACACTTTAAAGGTTTGAAACGCGATTTATATTAGTTCTAATGAGTTTTACTAATATATATCGCGTTTTAAACCGTTAAAGTGTTTTATTTAAACATACGTAGTGTATTTATCAAAGTTTACTGTTTATTTTTGTTAATATCATTTGGTTATTAAATAATAAGAACTGGCTAATAACTGAATAATATAAACTGCCAATGTAACAAGCGACAAAAAATCAACAAGGTTTGGAATAAGCGAAAGAAAAAAGTTTTTTTTTGTAAACGACCTAACCCATGAGATCATGAACAGAAATTAATTTAATTGTTTCTTAATTTCGTTCGAAAAACTTTGGTGTTTGAATAACTGTAAAAATAAAACAATATTGTTATAATTCAGCTTTTTATGTAGAACCACATACACTACGTGATATTAACTGTTTGGAACCAAATGTGTTTTAAAAATACACAACATAATAATGAGACAGACCCACAAATAAAAATCACAATTTTACATGCAACCACATTTTGTAACAGCGTCTTCAACGTAAAAAGCTGTGAAATTTGTTATTAGACTTATAAACGTTCTCATAAAATTGAACGATTTTAACGGTTCCAAACGCCAAAAGTGGAGGCGGTTGTTAAGCGTCAGACAATTGTCGGTTAGTTTGCTTTTAGTTTAGTGTTTTATTTAATAAAACTGAAGTTCTAAAAATTATACTGGCGTCAAGTCCCCTAATGTACTAATCTTAACTACTAAAGACTGATTTAAACACAGTGGCTGTGTTTAAAAATTTCAGATAAGTAGGTCAACATTTAATTCATTTCAAAGGACTGGTTATTCTCGCCAACCTTATTTTTCAGTTTTCTCTTTCTCAAAATTGGTATATCAAATAATTCTTGGTTCGAAATTAATTCTTCTGCATCGGCAAACGTTTGGGGCATTTCCCTTCCCCCAGTTTCAGGAATCATACATGCGCAAACGACACCGATTAGTGAAATAACCGCTGTCAACACTAAGGGCAGCCACGCGATAAAATTCCCCGAATATACGATATACGGAGAAATACAAGTTGCCAAATAACCGCATATATGAACGATCGAGGCAGCGGAACCTCTGACAGATGTCGGGACCACCTCAGCAGACCACTGCATAGCGGTGCTGAATGACATATTAACAGCAAATCTTGCTAAAATAGCACAAACAACCGAAGGTAGACCCTCACTAATAAATGCAGTCAAGACACAAAACATAGCGCATATAATTAATGACGAAATGGATACCCACTTACGACCTATAATATCTAATAGGAAAGTTATTATAATTAGTGATGGGAACTCGGTAAATGATATCATCGTGAACGATAGGAAAAAATCAAAGCCCAAAGCGCCTATACTTCTTAATAACGCATCGAAGACGATACCGCAGCACATGTATTCAATACACACGCAGATAAACACTTTACGCGTTAACGGCCGTCTGAATATCTCTATCGAGTTCGTATTCTCTTCTTGCTTTTTATTCTTACAAGAGAACTTAAACTCTTCAATCAATTTAGTTGGCACTGTGACACCGTTGACTTTACCAATGTCCACTGCCTTCTGAACGGCTTCATCTACCCTGTTCTTCGACAAAAGCCACCTGGGACTCTCTGGTATAATGAATGGTGCCAACAAAGCTAATGCCATAGGAATGCTCGTCGCTAAGCTTAAAGTCTTCCAGTCGTTGCAAGCTAAGGCTATCCACGGCAATATCATCGCTCCAAATGTAAAGAAAATCGCAAAGGGAAGATTGGTTATAAGACTTCTGTATTTCGGAGCTACGTATTCCAGTACGAGTAGATAGGTCATCATCATACAATTGTCGTAACACATTCCAACTACGAATCTGCAGATGGAGAACTCTATCATATCTCTCGCGAAGATACTTCCTACACCAGCGATGCACCCGATCATGTTGCTTATTGTAGCAGCTGGTAATCTTCCATATCTATCAGCGATCCAGCCGATTATAAATCCACCTACGATCGAGCCTAAGAAGAATATAGACTGCGCGGTTGCCTGATAACTATTTCGTTCGCACACCCACCCCAGTTCACTGGAAATAGTGGGATACGGTATTTCGGTCTTGTTGAATTCCCATCCGTTCTGACATGCCTGGGTAGGCCATGATTCGTTGGGGTAGCTTCCAGTGAGTAAAACGTCTGTCCAATTGGCAGTATATGCAGAACATTGGGAGTACCCGAAGCGGCTGTTAGCGTCATTGGGTATAGCGAGGTTTCGTCTCTCGAGGTCCGTCAAGTTATCCAATTCCGGTATCCAGCACCAATGGTTCGGTGACACCTCCGTCATGAACATTTGTGAGAAGTACGCGAAGACATCGAAGATATAGAAAGGGCCCGTAATGAAGAATAAATATAGTTGATATTTGCCGAACTTTCCGGCAGACGAGAGAAGCTCGTCATAATCCACTACTCTTTCTGAATTCTCTTCTTTATTTTCCATTTTTCTTTTTTTTTAATAATTACGAGTCCCAATTAATAATAGCTAGAGTTTTATTAAACATTACATTTCTACACGATTGCTACATGAGGAATGAGACAGATATCTATGGTTCTTGTTACCTTGTAACTAGAATTCTTTTTATAGCCAACATTATCATTGCGATAACTAAGCTGGTTAATTATTATTTAGATAATAGTTTAATTAGCGTGATTTACAAATCTTTTATTACCGACAATGTAAATAGCTGATTGTAGAAGACTAGCGGTCGATTATTTCTGATTGGATTATGGTGAGGAAAAAGAATTGCGTGTTGAAAAGCAGTATTGTTCAGGGACACTACATAGGTATATGTTGGTATAAGCATCCATTGTATGTTGTAATTTACTGGAATCTAAGATTTTTGAGTCCTTCAAACTCGTAATACATACTGTCCTAATACATTGCTTTATTTTTCGTAACTATTTATTACCTTATAATACTTATTACTAAAAAAATACTCAATTGTTTAAAAATTAAATAGTTATGATAAAACCTTAAGGTTTATATTCATGTTGGTGTTGCGGCATGTATACCCACCGTAATTACGAGTTCGACTCCTGCGCTAAAAATATCAGTCGTTATGCACATCTAACACATACTATCCACGAACGTTATATGCCAAAGTACTTACATGCCCTAGTAAGAATGTATCAATATACAGAAAAAAAAGTATGTATTACATTCTCTTGAGGTCATTGAACCACGTTATAAAAGGTATTATTTTTACCGTTTTTTTTTAATGGAGAACTTTACAAGGTCACGATAGCCTTCGCGCCTTCGTTAAGGTTATATCCTGTTCTTAAAACGAGAAGGGGGTGTGAGCGGACGCAATGTGAGAAATCAGTATAATCAGCTTATTATTTTATAATCCATATGAAATCACAAACTGTAAACACTTCACGAGCTCACTCCATGCATCATAGAAAATGTCTTTTTGTCTATGAAGTAAGTTTACTACCTCTATTGCTCTTGTCCAGGACGCTTTTCCTAACAAATTCGATAATAATTTATTTCGAACCTGTACTTCCTGAGATTACATATAATCTATTCAGCTTTATATATTAGTATAGATTAGGCAGAGCAGCAAAATCTGTGTAATGTAACTGTATAGAAACTTCTTCTTATTAGCCGTGTTCTTCTGTCATCGGCTAGTCTCAGAGCATACCAGTTTACTTATTTTTACCATCTACAAATATGACGTTTTCTCGATAGTAAAAATAAATGAAGACATTTCTCGTTTTAAGTGAGCGTTTTCCTTATTTTTTTATGATAAAGGAGGACAGAGCACTTCACTTCATTATAAATGAAATACCCCCACCATATAACTAACATCCTAACTAGATGTGCTGTCTTGTGGATTTACGAATATCCAAAGCTATTCTGGCTGAACTGAAATGTGATTTAACTTTAATCCGTATTCGTAGGGTCGATATTCCTACCACCTATTTATTATTCAGATTTCCAGACCAACATATTACAGAAAAATTATAAATTGATTTGAAACATGTCGAACCCGATGGGATCGAACCCTAGACAGGTCGATTATTAGCCTTTAATTTATACATTTATGTAAGCTACAAGTAGGTCTTAAGTTATTAGATAATTTTACATACAATATGGGAACAGTTACTCAGTGTCATATACCCACAATAAGCCAAAATAAACTTTATTAGCCTGTAGTAAGTGAGTCATGTACTCCGTCATTAAATATCGTTACGATACATTGCGTACTCTTTACTGAGATTAAAAAATAAAATTATATAGGCCATTAATAAAGTTGTGGTGTAGTTTTAATTTATTTATTGAGTTCCTTTTTAAAAAATTCCTAGTACCTAATAACTGACTGTAGTTAAGGGTTTAAAACGCGATATATATTAGTTTAACTTGTTTGAAAATTATTTTAACTACGGCCCGACGTTTCGGATGCTATGTCTCCTTTTCTCCTATCCTGCAAAGCATTCGAAACGTCACGCCATTCGCGTCCAGATAATTTACAATTAAGTTTTACTAATATATTATATCGCGTTTGAAACCGTAAAAGTTTTTATTCAAATCGTTATACTTATTTTTCTCGCGTTAATGTTAACGATAATTATGTCAAACAAATTAAATAAGATAAACATTTCATGAAAATTTTCCAAAGTGGGCGACAGCGCCATCTTGTGGACGTTTTAAAATGTACGTTTCATTGTTTCATTGTCGTTAGCTAATCCTGAAAAGATTGGAAGGTTTAACATCACCTTAATTGTATTCCTTATCGGAGTGTACACAGAGAATTTATCTTAGTAACAAATTTCGATGTAAGTAACGTAATGTTGAAATTTATTTAGAAATATGACTCGCAAATGAAAAGTCTATTACAGTTGGACCAATTCAAACGGTAGTTATTTTAAAATATAATAAGTGTAATACTGTTTTCCTCGTGGAACATAGAGCGAACACATTTCTATATCCGTTTCACTGCTACATTTAATTTATAGGCAAGTATTTGATTAGACTTTTGTGTAATGGCCTATCGACGAATTGTAGTATATATCGCATTTAAATTGTTGTTTCATACTTCGCTAGGATTCGAACCCAAAACTTCTCGCGCTCAATAAATCTACATATCTACGATTGAGCTATGAATAAGGACAAGATTACGCCGAAAACTAAAATAATAATGCTGTACGGAAGCAATTCAATGAGTAATTAAAAATTTCGCAAACAAGCCTTTGAATTAATAAATAAATTACTACGATTTAGAGGTTAAATTTTTAGACAAGCTAATGTTCAGTCACGTCTAAGTTATATACAAGTTTATAATTTTTTTACAAGGATTATTTCGTGCAATATCCTGTATGTTTTAAATGTATGTAATATTTTGACGGGCTCGTTGGTGTGAGTGTGGCAGTACGGCTAACAATCAACGGGTCGTAGATTTGATTCCCACCGGTCCACTATGTTCTTACTCAATTTATAATTTTTCTGAAACATCTTGGACTTCGTCGAGGGATAAATATTTATCGCGCATATATCGACCATAGTCTACGGGAATTCTATCTAATAAGTTTTGTCTATGCCTCAATTTATCGCATGACACATCGAGTCAGCTGTCAATTGTCATGCATAACAAGTTGTCAAGGTGAAGCCGTTTTGGCGGCAAAATGTTGACCTTTACATAATGTGAGTGATAAGAAAGCATGACATATTCTCTTCTGGTATAATAAAATTGCTAAATAATTTTTATAACTGCGTTCTTCATCGGATATGGTGATCAGATGGTGGTCGACATAACATTATTTTGTAATTAGCATATAAATTACCAGAACCCATACTATAAGTTTTATCGCTTACGAAAATTTAATCGGCTTACGGTTTTGAATTTTAAGAACAGATTAATACGCATTATATAATTTAATTTATAATAATTTTAATTATAAAATATCTTTATTATGAGGCCGCTAGAAGCAGAGTAGCCTATCTGCAATTTGATGACTTGGCTTAGTTGTATTAATAATTATAAATTCCTACACAAATAATAGCACAAAATCCTCCATATTGAAAATCGATTTTTTTTTCTTATTATGACTCTGATTCTAGCAGAATCAATTGTCTTTGTGTGTATGGGTCTCTATTTTATAGAAAAAAAATACGCACGTAGACTTTTTAGTGACAAGCCTAATTACGGTCTTAGTTTATAAATGCAACCGAATGAAACTGCATAATTATGTTATAAGTAGTGCTCGATAGTAAGAAGCAACTGACCCCAGTGGCACGGATTATAAATTTTATAGCATAAACTCCGTTAAAGGCCCATTTTAATGACACTACAAACATAAATGCTTCATATTGCTTTATTATAAACACATAAAATGTGTCATACCACGAGAAAAGACAATATCACGGTATCTCTACATTGCTACAAAACAAATAACAGTGGCTTAAGAACAAAAAACATGATTTCCAATGATGAAAGAAAATAAAAAGGCGCAACTTGGCGAAAATGAATTTGTACTATTATTTGTGTAGGAATTATGTTAACAATTTTCGGTCACTGTGCACTTGTAGATTAACATTTTTACACTATGAAAATATAGATAAGTCATATGCATATCATCAAATTACAGTTAGGCTACTATGGCTCTAGTGATCTTAATTATGGATACTTTATGAAAATCAATATATTTTACGTTAACCAATTATTTCATATAACAGAAATACAATATTTAAAAAGAAAACATGAAGGGAATTAAACGTCTCGTGTAAAATTGCGTAGCTTAGTCGTTACGCCAGCGTCGCTTCAAAATATAACGAGGAAGACTTTTGAGACAAGCATCAAGAGGTCCTTTTTCTTATCACGGCTATCTTAACGTCCTCGCAAAGTCAACAAGTCCACCCGTCAGCAGATAATGAAGAAAAACAATAATCGCTTTTGCTCCACTTCGCTCCTTTCCGGTTTCCGAAAAAGGTATAACGACCGCGGATTTTTAATAAATATCATAATAAAAACATATTTTCTTTTTATTATGCAACGGTATGCTTTTAATGTACCGCACTTTGTGTGGCGGACATAATTGTGCGAGCAATTAAGCTATTTAAATTCACATATAATTACGATAAGCGAATACAATTAACAAGTTTTCGGGGTTGGTTCGCGAAAATGTATATCTACGATGCGTTTGCGCATCTAAATGTATAAGAGGTTTGATTGTTAATCATTTACGTAACCAGGGTTAAAAAACACACAAAAATTATAACGTATGTATTTTTAATGTGTGAACATGTTTGATAACGGTTTATAACGCGTTATATATTAGTTACACCGTATTCAATGGGAGACGGCTGCGCTGCTGCTGTAAAGCATCCGAAACGTCGGGACATAGTTAAAATGATTTTCAAATAAGTTTATTTTATACCAGTTAAACTTATGTCGCGAATGATACCATTAAAGTGTTTTATTTAAATGTGTACTACTCGTAAACTATTGCCAGTGTGTTTGATGATGCTTACTGACAACGATACATATGTAGAAATAAATTGATTATTTAGTTTTCTTCACGTTATAAACTGTCAAAAAAATTTTTAACGTGTACTGGCTAAAACTTCTATTTGAGTAATTAATTAGTTATGTATAAGTTAAAATGACATCTCACCTTCCACTTGTAAAAAATTAATCGGGGTTCAAGGTTCGAATCGCGGCGAAACACGATGAGGTGTTCGGCTCTATTACGTTGAACTATTCGAAAACGGGCGACAGTTAAGACCGATGTTAGTTCATAGAAGTGCATATTTTGTTTCTCTAATTGTTGCATGAAGAGATACTAGAAATAAAATCCATAATAAATTGAAAAAATTTACGACTCGGGCAGAACTTGAACCGGCATCCTCACCGTTCCGTGGCTCTAACCAACTGAACTACCGAGTCGAATTTTTTCAACTTATTTATAGATGCACCTCTCGCGCATATAATAACAATATAGAGTTGTATGTATAGATACAAAGCTAAGCTACTTTCATATCTAATGATATGTTGCAAAGGGGTTGTTAATGTATAATTAAAAATTATTAAAGTGTGACACAATAATCATTATATCACACTTTAATAATAAGGTATTTTAATAATAAAGGAAAATAAATAAATGTTTCTTGCAAAATTTTATTTGAATTATAATTGAATTACTATATTTTTCAATATCGCGTTTTGATTTGACGTCACTAAAAGTATGATGTCATTGTTTATAATATTAATTTTGTTACAGGGTTGTTTGTACTACTAGTGTTGGGCTTCTTCTGCCTGGGAACTGGTCTGTTTATTGCCTTCGTACAACCCTACGACCTATTATTCAAATGGGTAAGTGCTTAAAACAATTCCTGGCCTTCTTAGTTTGATTTGTGTGGCATACAAAAAAGGTTTTAATTCGAACCATTAGTTCTCGAGATTAGCTCGATCTAACAAACGAACAAACTGGCATAGCAGTCTAAGCTTTCGTCCATGGCCTAATGGTAGCAATGTAGGCTAATAATCAACAATCTCGGGTTCGATCCCCACCGTGTCTAACGTGTTTCTAATTTTTCATTTTATAATTTTCCTGAAATATGATGGACTTTGAAATCTTGATATTTAATGGGTGGTAGAAATGTGGAAATTCCGTCCGGATCACGAACCACATTCCACACATTAAAAAGATGTGAAGCTTAATCGCGTTTCGGTTTCAATCTGTGGATTTCCGAATATCCAAAGCCAAAATAGATCGACAGCACATCCCGTTTAGATGCTATAGGCCGGGTTCACCTACCATAAAGCGAACCCAAATCTTGTCTGTCCTTTTCTATCATTAAAAAAAATGACCTTACTATACTAGAAATAAAAAATATACCTCGCGGTTTTCTTTTTTATAAACTTACACAGATAACATGACGCGCGTAGATAATTCAAAATAAACCCGCCTCTCAAATAAATCATCTCCACGCGGATGTTGTTCTATCTCCGTGTAATTAAAAGAAGTAGTAGTTTAATATAAATATTTCCTTATCTTTTTTACTATATTGTTATTTACATAATATAACTTGCCAACGAAGTTCGTAGGTTCGTAAATATTGAATTGAACATTGTTACAATAGATTATAATTTTAATATAATCTATGTCATGCATATAAGTGAACCATAGACAAACTTCTAATTATTTTGAAGCTTGTTGATCTAAAACTGCCGCTATAACAAGAAATACAGACTACAATAAAATCAAATGGAGCTGGTATTCAACATTTTAGCTAAATTTTAACTTATAGAGTAAATTTTAAGTACTTTAGTGTTCGAAAACTTTATTTTTTTTACATTGCATTAACAATGCACATGATGGCACTATATAAATTAAAAATTGATTTCAAATCGAAAAAAATATTACGAAACAGCGCGGAACGCCGTAGGTGCCGGTTCCAGTCCTGCCCGTGTTTTTCAATTATAATCGATTTTTTACTTAATCTCCTCTTTAAATAAAACACTTTTTAAAACGCGATATTTATTAGTTAAACTTATTTGAAAATAAATGTGTTTTACTCGCGTCAACCACAGACTGTATTTACTCTAGTTTTGTTCATCTAGTGAATGTAACGGAATCTTTTGTTTGTTTCAGAAAATCAAATTCCAAGATGGCGGCGAGATCTTCGAAATATGGAGGAAGCCAGAAGTAGAGTTGTACACCAGGGTTTACTTGTTCAATGTGACCAATGCTGAAGAATATATGGCTGGCACTGATGACAAGCTGAGCTTTAAAGAAATCGGGCCTTTCGTTTATAGGTAAACTTTTAATTTTTTTGTTTCTTATATTAAATAAAGCACTATTACCGGTTAATAACGCAAAATGTATTACTTAAACTTATTTACAAATTATTCTAACTACGGCACAACGTTTCGGGTGCTGTTCACCAGCTGTGGTTACGTAAGTAAGTTTAACCAGTACATGTCTCGTTTTAAACAGTTAGACTTGTTTTATTTAAATGTGTACTCGCGTTAATTACAGACAGTTCCTATAATATACATATAGAATAGTCAGTTTGTTTTGATTTAAGCTGTTTCGATGACATACTATCTCAACAAGGTGCGCTGTGTAATTATTTTGAATTTGGATATTCGGAAATCGTGATTAAACTTTTTACGTCTAACGGTACTTCGCGGGCGGACGGAATTCGATATTCCTACCACTCATTTAATATGATTGATTATAAGCCATACATTACTACGAGCTAGTCAAATTTGTAAATTTTTCTCATAGTTATATTAAAATGCATTAAAAGTGCACATATCAATGTAAATAAATTAATAATAATATAAAATGTCAATATTGCGCAAAGGAATTAGCCAGATGAATGAACGATTCGGAATGTATCAGGAACTTTTGACCGATCGGTCGATACTCACCTTGATTTGTATATAAACATGCTAATTTTCCTGTAATTACGAGTACGCTTCCGCAAGTACGGTCGGCAGAAACATCAATCGATGATTCATCAATATTCGATTTGAAACTGTAGTTTATGCGAGAAGTACACATTTAAATTTAACGGTTTAAAACGTGATATATATTAAAGTTATTTGAAAATTATTTTAACGGCCCGACGTTTTGACTAATATGTATCCCGTTTTAAACCGTTAAGCGTTTATTTAAACGTTGCGTTAAGCGTTTTATTCTATTTCAATTAATTCTACCTAAAAAAATAAAAAAAGGAGTTCCACCCTTTAAATTTTAGCGGGGACTGGCAATCCAGTGATCACGGCTGCTGCAAAGCATCCGTTGTTACTATTCTAAATAACTAATATATTTACACATTTCGCGTTTTAAACCGTTAAAAGTGTTTTATTACATTTTTTAAATAAGTGGAAACTGTAAAATGTATAGAAACTCTCATGAGGAATCGACGAGAATAGTGTATTATTATGTCAATTGTTTTTGGTGGAAAAATTTTCATTCTACTAAACATTATTTTACTTATTATATTATTATTTTATTTTGCTCATTATAACATATTCCATAACGATAACAAGTGTATAATTTCAGGCAATCGATTTATATTATTTAGTTGTATTTTTTTGCCAACGGTACTCGATCTGTAACCCTGCACGTCGTATATCCTTGCATTAATTGCAAATCGTACCATATTACGACTTAAATATTAGTTTTGTGTAGCCTTCTTATTTATTATCTTTAGAATTCATCTAATAAAGATATAGAGAAGGAGAACAAAAAAGCTATTAGGTCTTTTGCCAACAACAATTAAAAGACTTTTAGTTATGATTAATTATATAACAGGCGGAATCGAACCTGCGATAGACGGTTTGCTGGCTTTAATTACAAGTTTTCGCCCGCTACTGCGTTTTCCAAAGTTATGATATACAAATTTAACCCATAGATATTTAACTATAGTACCGCCCACTTTGTGAGGCACTTTTCTAGGTAAAAAGTTACCTTAAAAATTTCTAATTAAGAAACATATACAGATATTAGGTTACACGTGGACAATAGTTTTACGTTTTAATATAAAGTCCCGTAAGCTTAGATAAAAAATAAAGTTACATCCACGATTGCAGTTATTGCAAAAAAAATCAAATCGCAAATTGGAAGTAAATTATTCAAACACTTTTATTTTTAAAATTATTGCACACGATCCATCTAAAATATATTTTTAATATAACCTTAGGTTTTTCCAATGTCTAAAATAATACGGCCTTATGTTTCTGGTTATTTTAAAGGCCACTTACCTATATTAATCATAAACATTTTAATTTGACAGTAGTTAAGATGTTTTTTCGCTACATCACAATTATGCAACTTCACATAAGGCGGGACTCGAACTCACGACACACTTTACAGTTTGTTTGTTTGAATGCGCTAATCTCAGGAACTACTTGTTTGAATTAAATTTGTTTACGGTAAGAGCATTTATCGAGGAAGGCTTTAGGCTATAAAACATCACGCTGCGAACAATAAGAGCGAAGAAAAAGGGGGAAAGTGGTAAAAACGGGGATAATATAAATTATATACTTCTGAATATACAAAAGCAAAATAGGTTGACAGCTATCTATCTTGTTGCTATCTTGGCTAGCTAACTAGCTACCTTGTTGAGATCTGGCTGCCTGTCAGTCTTCGTCTATCATAAGTTATAATACTTAGAGGAAGTTTTAAAGTTAACGCATTACGGTGCGGTGTGCGTTAATTACAATAAAATACAATTGGTTCATATTTATCGTATACAAAGATTGAAGTTACTTTAAGTTATATTTTTAAACATTGGCAGATTATATTATTAATAGTTACATATATTTTTTTACAGAGAACTCTTAGAGCACAGTCAAATAAAGTTTAACAGTAACGGCACACTCAGTACGATACCTAAACATCCTCTAGTATGGGTCGACGAGCTGTCAGAGGGGAACAAAGAGGATGATATCGTGTACTTACCGCATATTGCATTACTGGTAAGTGAACTGTGCATATTGCTCTAGTAATAAAAAAAACAGTAAAACCGTATTTTCGCGACATAATATAATAGATATAAGTTTTTACCGCTTCTGTACCTACATGGTTAAACGTGTTGCCTAAAGTGCGAGAGAACCTGGGGGTTTGAATCCTGGAGAAACAATATATTGTTTCGCTCGCGCACAGTCGAGAAGTCTGATTAGCTACTTGCCTGTACTTTAAAACTTACATTAAAGCAGATTTCCAACGAGTTTCTATGTAAAGAAAATTGTTAGAAACTAAGCGAAAGTTAATTATATCGGAACGAAACGTTACCTCAGGCAAATGATGGCGAGCGAAAATTTGATCGCTCTTGATAACTGTTATAATGAGTCGTAGCGAAGTAAACTTTAAACCGTTTAAAACCGTAAGTGTTTCAGTTAGGGTGCCGCAGCTTTAATAAAACCCTACTTAAATACTGTCTATAGCTTACATATTTAAATAAAACACTTTAACGGTCTAAAACGCGAAATGTATTAGTTAAACTTATTTACCAATTTAATTAAGGTCCGACGTTTCGGATGCTTTGCTGCATCCGTGGTCACAATACTTGTAAATAATTTAACTAATAATTTCGTTTTAAACAGTTCAAAGCGTTTTATTTAAATCAATCTCATTTTCCCCAGCTAACCTTTAGCGCAAGCGCATATCAAATGTTACGACATTGTGAAGACTGTAGCAAGAAGTCACTGACCTCTTACTAAATTCTAAATGTTACCATGCCATAGCCATATTGCAGATTTAATGATAAATCCGTGATTTATCGATCTTGCACGGTTATTAGTGATGTATACTAAAAAAAATGAATGTACTATCTTTCTCATATATCTTATAGAGCAAGAGATGTTGCAATTGCGTTATATTACACTGTGTGGAATATTATAGTAACATCCCTCTTGTGTAGAATTCTCTTTATTACGTAAGTGACCATCTTTCTTTTAAGTTGTTTTTTTATAAACAACTAGCTGGTGCCCGCGACTTCGTCTTCGCAGGGTTAGGATTACGTAGTATCGCGCATTTAAACTAAATGATGTCTATCATATCATACATTACATAATTATGTGTAACTAACCTTTAGCTAACTGGCAGCGCACGCCAGAATAGCTCGCAGTAAGGTAGGTTTTTTCCTAGTTACTTGACACTTAATGTCATATTTTGGACAACTCGTACAATATCTTTATAAATTGTTAAAGCCTATGTGTTATTCTGATGTATAAGCTATATTATTGGAAAGTTTAATTGAAATCCATTCAGTAGTTTTTGCGTGAAAGAGTAACAAACATCCATCCACACATACAAACTTTCACGTTTATAATATTAGTAGGATAAAATAATATACAATTTCTTAGTTAGTTATTTTTAGATATAATTTAAACTACATGAAAAAGTGTCTGTAATTTTAAAAATAATTTTAACTAATCGAGTCGAAATCGTTAAGATGTTTTTTGTTTCTTTACAACTTTAACAATAATACAACATTAATAAAAATAACTTACATTTTAATATATTACTTTTAAATAATGTTCATTATATCTTTCAAATAAAACATTAAAAACACGGTTCGTCAAAATTTTTTTTAAACGGGAACTGGGGAAACTGAAAATGTAGCGTATCAGTAACGTCAAAATAATATCCGCTACGCTAGTGCCATCTGTTTCGTCGTAGCTGGTATTGGGAGAAATTGGCTGGTTCCTTTCAGATATGACTCACGGTGTCCTCGCCTTTACCAAAAAACAGTAAACCATCTTAAGTTGCCCCCTTCGACGACGGCTGCTGCAAAGCATCCGAAACCTGCCGTCGTTAAATGTAATTAAACTTTTAAAAAATCCGCGTTTTAAACGGTATTTTAAATGTGTACCACGCGTGAATTCAGTCAAACGATACATTTTTTACATACTTTCTTAATATTTTAAATTTATCGTTTGTGATTTGATTGGCCATCGAAGCTTTGGTAGGATTCAAACTTAAAACGTTGAAATCCACAAAATGTAATGCACCATCTTTAACTATAAAACATATTGTGTTTAAATTACGGACATATAATTTAACAGTTTATTTATTTAAGAAAACAGGAAACAAACAGAAATATCACAGAGTCATATTATAAGGAATTAAATATATATATATATATATAGTAAGGTATATCTAAGTAGTAAGGAATATCTGTACTCTATATATATATATATATAGAGTACAGATATTCCCTTAAATAGTTTCACAGATAAAATCGAGGTTTAACAATAACTTACACCACTAGACCATGAAAAACAATGATATGCATCAAAGTGACAGTATTATAGTTACAATTAAAACTAGGAGCACTTAACATTAATTTTACACAAATTGACATAAAAAAAAGAAAACTAGATACAAGTTTTAAAATAAGGTAAGTGATTGTTTTAATTTATTTTTAAATGAGGCAGTCGAGGAGCGGCATTACACGTCAATATTCTCAAAAGAGTCTATCGAAGAACACATTCTGTGGAGGGCTGCACGGAACCCTATATTGGTCCTAGGAGTCGGTAGATTAAATGTTCTGTGCGTGCGCAAAGGCCTGGCTGGCACATTAAATATCAAAAGTTCAAGAAGTTCAGACCAAGTAATTTCATATACACATATTTTTCTTAAGGTAACACAATCAATTAGGTGACGCCTTTGACTTAAAGAATAAGTTAACACTTGTATTTCCCTTTATCACGCGACCTTCAATAAAATAAATTAAGGAGACGTTGCTCTTAAATGGTGTTATTTGACGAGTCTGCGTGGTTTATTGTTTGTTTACGAGAGGAAGATCCTACTGATAAAACTGTAAATTATAATAGTGAAGTGGAGAATTGTCGGAAACTTTGCGAGGTTTAAACGGACATATTTTTGTGTCTTTATTACCTGATTTCCTTTTCAAATCACTCTGTCTTTGGGGCAAACACGGATCGGTTTTATTTACAGGCAAGTAGTTGATCAGACGTCTGTGCGACCGACCGTTCGTGCTGTCTGACCGATACACACTATTGTTTCCCCGGGATTCGAATCCAGGACCTGTCGCGTTTAAGGCAACAAGACGTGTTTAACCACTATTAAATTATATATAATCATGCCAAATATCCAAAAAACGCGTTATTAAATAAATCTAGAACTATATTGCGCGTATATTTTGTTTGTAGACAGACTCGTTGGTGAAATGTAACCAATCGTGGGGTTGATCCCCACCAGGTTCAATATGTTTTAATGAATTTTTAATTTTTCCGAAACATGTTAAACTTCGTCTAGAAATCAATATGAAATAAGTGGTAAATATATCGGAATTCATCCGTCGAGATAAAAAGCCGTGTAGTTTAATCGCGTTTCGGTTTCAGTCTGTGGATTTCCGAATATTGAAAGATATAATCGGTCGACTGCGCACCTTGCTTAGATGTCATATGGCTGCGGTGTTGTCTGTCCTCTGCTATCGTAAAAAAAGTCGGTAGCCATACCAAATATCTATAAATCGCGGTATATATAGTATAGATTTACGTTCGTGTCATTGATTTAATAAAAATATTAATTTAAACAAATACGAATTTAATTTATAAGTTATTATTAATTAACAGTTATATTTCGAAAATAGGTTTCCCGGATGTAAGAGATATTAAAAGATAATTAAGAAAAACCGAATCGTTAAATATTTAGTTATTAATTAACGATAGCGTAAAGTTTATTGACCTTTCGCTTGAGGAATTGTCGTTTTGAGGTCACGGCCTTAAAATGTTTAAGCTTTTCAATAGTAATAAAAAGTATTAAGTAAAAGTATTATATAAAATACTTTTAACGGTGTTTAATCTATACTAACATATAAAACTGAAAAGTTTGTTTGAACGTGCTAATCTCGGGATCTACTAGTTCGAATTCGTTAGAGCTTATTAAAATAAATAGCTTTAACGTTTTAAAACGCGATATATTTTAGTTGTACGTGGAGTCTTCCCGTGACTACGGCTGCTGTAAAGCATCCGAAACGTCGGGCCGTAGGTAAAAATAATACTCAAACAGGTTTAACTAAAATATATCGCGTTTTAAACCCCTAAAGTGTTTTATTTAAATGTGTACTGCTCGCGTAAACTAAGAAGCCCGACGGCCCGACGTTTCAAATGCTTTGCTGCAGCCGTGGTCACGGGGAGACTAAAGATGGAGTGTGTCTCTGACGTTAAAGTAAAAAATGCTACGCTGCGTTTGAACACTTTGCGTTAAAGTGTTTTATTTAAAAGTTACGTTTTGTCTCTTCAGAGTATAGCGAACGTTGTCTCCGCACAGAGTTTCATGACTCGCTTCGGCCTTAACCGTTTGATCAGCCTCACGAACAGCCAACCGCTCGCCAAAATGACTGCGCGGGAGTTCATGATGGGGTATAAATCGGAATTGATGACCCTCGGAAACACCTTCATGCCGGGATGGATCTACTTCGATAAGCTGGGTCTTATTGATAGGGTGAGTAGTGTTAGTCTGTAAATCTACACCTATTATATAAAGCTGAAGAGTTTATTTGTTTGTTTGAACGCGATGATCTCAGGAACTACTGGTTTGAATTCAAGTTATTTTTATGTTGGTAAGAGCATTTATCTAGGAAGGCGTAGGGATTAGGCGAAGAAACATCAGCTGCGACCAATAAGAGTGAAGAAACAGCGGGAAAATTGGAAATGAACGAAAACGGTTCAAGATATCCAAAAAACTCGTAGGAGATAATTATTTCTCTTAAACGATATAAACATATGTCTTTAAGAGTATCTTTTAAGATTAACTTGAAAGAACGACGGATCGCGAACGACGTCGGGGTAACAATTTACAATTTATAAAAATGAGGAGATTTGCAAAAACAAATTTTGTCCCCCAAAATAACTATTATAAAAATAAACCTCATGCTTGTCTATTCAAAAAATAATAAGTAACGAAATTGCAAGGGTTATATTTAAAATATTCTATTAAATATTAATTCACGCGCGATCCTCGAACCCACGACCAAATCAATTTTTTATTATCAGACGCTCCGAATGCCTTGCAGCAGCTGTTTACTGTCTAATATTTCACATTTAAAACCGTTAAAAGTGCTTCTTTGTCGACAGATGTACGACTTCGAAGGAGATTACGAGACTATATACACGGGTGAAACAGATATCTCCCAATCTGGTCTGATCGACACTTACCGCGGGTCTACAGACTTGCCGCAATGGCCTGAGAAACACTGCTCTAACGTGCAGTACGCGTCCGATGGCACGAAGTTCAAGAGTGGGATCGTGAAGAATGACAGTTTGCTGTTTTATAGGAAGAGTTTATGCCGCGCTGCACCGCTGGTGAGAATAAGTTTGATTGTCTAACCGCCCCTGTGGCTAAACGGTTAAGCGTGTTGCGTTAACCACGAGAGTGTGATTGTCTGATTAACACGCCAGTAGATTATACCTAACAGTGAAATGTTCGCCCCATGACCCACGGGGGAAAAGGGATTATCTTTAGTAATTCATTATTTCTGTTTAGCTACTTATATGTAAGACAGATAGAGGTATACGGTTTTGCTGGTTCTTTTTCCAGGTGCCACAAACAGTCAAAATAGTGCGAATACATTTCACATAACTTACTTTTCACTCATTTTGGGTTGCCTAGAAGAGATCGCTTGTAAGCGTCAAGACAACCCCTATTAATACAGAAGTCTCGATAGCATTTTATAAAGCAATAGTGTTAATAAATAGATACAAAAACAAAGAACAAGAAAAATATTTATTATAATGAATGATTTTTAAATAGAAATGCAAGTAACTAAAAGCACATTATTAACGACGTTCTACAGAAATACCAAATTCTGCTCTCTATAGAAAGACTAAGACGTGACACGACGTATGTAACTTAATTTTTTTAGCGTTTTACGTCATTATATTGTTTTATTTTCAGATACCAGTAAAAGAAGGCGAGAAGAACGGTCTGAAAGGTGTGATGTACACATTTCCGGATCACATGATGGACAATGGGAAATACTACGAAGAGAATAAATGCTTCTGTAGACATGGTAAATAATATTAAACTCAATTGATCGTGAAAAAAAAATGTGAAATCTCGACCAATGTGCGTGTGTTCTACTAATTTTAAATAAGAGATATATACAGATTAGAAAGCCCTGTCCTACGTTTTTTAACCGGGATTCAAACACTGTACCTATTGCAATTTGATTAATCGAATTTATAATAAGCACTCTTTTAAACCTAATTTACAAATAAACAATCCTGGACCTCTTTTGACTTTTCTAAGATTTCTAGAATTTACAGAGAAATAATTCCTTCATATAGATTATTTATTTCATTTGAACCATTTCGATTTTTAAATTATTTGAACCATTCTCACAGCGAACGCAGCGGAAGCCTTCAAGATGAATAATTTTCCCCATTTTTTCCACTTTTCCCATTGTTTCTTCACTCTTTTGAGTCGCCGTCTAATATTTTAGACTAAAGCTTTCAGTAAATGCAAAAAATATTCTATAATTAGAACCAGTAGTCCCTCAAATTAGCTCGTTCAACAACCTCTTCAGTTTTATAATATTAGTACAGAATGAGGCTATACTTATTTATTTTTATTATCGTCTTAATTTTCACTTTGTTTACAGGCAAATGTTTACCAGAGGGCTTGTTAGATGTCGCTGATTGTTACTACGGCTTCCCCATCGCGTTGTCCTACCCTCATTTCTACAAGGGCGACCCCGAATTATTCAACAAAATCGAGGGTTTGAAACCGGATAAAGAACTGCACGAGACTAGGTAAGTTACATATATTTCGTATAATATTTTTTATAGATTTTCGTGTAACTTAAAAAAAACTACCTTAGTAATGTGTCTTTTTAGCTAACCACTTCAAGATTACTTAAATATTTTTGCATGGAAGAAATCGCGATAAGTCTGCCTTATCACATATTTTTTGTAATATCTTCAAATTAAATCTTATATTTGTGGTGACAATTAATTCATTTTGTTTGTTTATTTGCTAAATGTTCAACAAATATATTATGTTACGCTTCTCTTTATAGATTCTGGATCCAACCAGACTCCGGTCTTCCATTGGACGTGAGTGCCAAGTTTCAAATCAACATGCCCCTCGGGGACATCACCAACATCCAAAACACGGCTAAGTTCGCCAATCTCTATCTTCCTCTGCTGTGGTTTGATATTGTAAGTATAATCTGAATTACGATTGAATTGATTGAATTCTTAGTAACGATGATATAAATACTGTCTATTACGCGGGGGTGGAACACATTTAAATAAAACACTTTAACGGTTTAAAACGCCGATATATTAGTTAAACCTTATTTGAAAATGATTTTTAACTTCGGCCCGACGTTTCCCCGTCTTCGGACCACGGCTGCTGCAAAGCATCCGCAACGTCGGGCCGAAGTTAAAAATCATTTTCAAATAAGTTTAACTAATATATCGCGTTTTAAACCGTTAAAGTGTTTTATTTAAAGAAAATAATTTAGATACTTTTAAAACAATAATTCTTCGTTGTCTTAAATTTGTTGTACAACGTATCTTTATTAAAATATTATTTTCTACATTAAGCTTTATATAAATTCAAAATCTATTATTAAAAAACTCAATGATATTAGCGGCACTCGTACTCGCCGTGAGTTGCGTTACCGAACCCCTTAGCTCAGTTGGTAAGAGCGGGTTCAAAATATTACTATACTGTTAATTACTGTTGTAACTGTAGAGGAAGATCGTGACCCCAGCCATATAACATCTCAAAAAGATGCGCTGACGATTATTTTGGATAATCGGATATCCGAAACTCGATCAAACTTCACGGCTTTTCTGTGGAAGGTGGTCCGTGACCCGGAGACGGCATTTCGATGTTCCTACCACTCATTTCTCAACCATTTCAGACAAAGTCCAACATGTTTTAGAAATAATATAAATTGATTAGGAACATGTTGCTCTAGGTGGGGACCGAAGCCCACGACCCGTTGATGAGCACTATTTGAATAACTAAACTAATCTATAAATACCCTTCCAGCGAATGTTCAGTCTACCCTCATCGCTGGAAATGCGCTTCAAGATGTACCTCAACATTCTCCCAGCCGTCGAGAAATCCATAATGTACGTAAGCTTTATCGTGGGCGCCATTTTGATCTTCGTAACGGTCTACATATTGACGTTCAAGATTATGTTCAAATCGTACAGACAGAAGAAACGGCCGACGTGGTCCGACAAAGAGAAGAACACAAAGGACGTTTACGTCCCGTGCGAGTTGCCTCTCGAATCCGAATCAGACTGTCCAGACCCCAAGGAGAGCAAAGCATTCATCAAGATACACTCAGATAAGATCAAAGAGCTTAGCCAAAAACTAAGCGACAAAGTCTACGACACAGTAAGAATTTTCGACAGCGAACGAAAGAATTCGCTGATCGTTCCAGAATGTTCCGAAGTGAACGACGCGTATCGGAGCGAGAGTGACAGCGATAGGAAAGAGAGAGAGAGCGACGACGATTACAAGGGTGAAGACTGTAAATATTTGGAGATCATCGATGATGGGAGCGAGTTTGATGATGAGTACGTCTGTCTCAAGAGCGATCGCGCGAGAACGCTCAGGGAGTTGGATAAGTGAAGAGGTTCTGAAAATCCCCCTTTTTTAGTATAGTGTGATGAGACTGTAAGTTATTTAGGTACAAATAAAGTTGATAAGATAATATTAAGTATTTATAAACTAATAGATAAACAACTATATAGTCCGGAAATCGTAATTTCGTCTCTTTCTTTCAAATTGAAAATCACTTTAGCGTAAAAGAGAAAACACGTCTATTCCCCTCCCCCCCTTTCGCCTAAATAAATATGGCTGTCACAAGAATGTAAAACTACCGGCATATTAATTAAAAAATAAAAGGCATATGAACTGAATCATGCCGTTTAAAGTTATGAATGTTTCACGTAACATAAATATTGTTTATTATATTTTTAATAGTTAGTATGTTATAGATTATTCAAACGTTTAGGGGGATAATTCAGAACATACTAATGTCTTCGAGAAATGCTTATATCTTGCCATGAATATATAAGATACTGTATATGAAGGACGTCTGGATTAAAATATATTCCCTGTTTAGAAATAATAACATTTTGATCGGTTCAAGACAAGAAAAAGTTAAGCCTGGACCGCCACCTCACCACGTGACCACAGCTGCGGTTAAACAACCTAAGAGTGAGATCCAACTTTATTAATAGTAACTGACTCATAAATTTCACGTATTAAACCGACAAAATTGTTGTCGTCTGCATTTTGTCCCGTCTGTGTCTATGCTTTGTAAATATCCAGTTTAGTTAGTGCATATTAAACGAATTGCTCAGTTGCTTGCTCAGTTTTTATTAGTGTTTAAGTAATTTTGCTCTCTTTATATAAGCGATGTTTAACATGGCAATATTAACTTAAGAATAATTATTTAAGTTATAATTAAATACGCCGCGCGAAATGACAGCTGACAGTTGCCTGTATTTTAAATTTTAATTCCAACTGACATTTGTAACGGTTATCGTCTACAGTCTTTGATTTTCAATATTAAGTATTTAACTATTTTAATGTCTACCTATATATTTTTTTTTGCTGGACCTATGTAATATTTAAGTTTTATTCAGCTTTTTATTTTATTTATTTTTTTAATTTGTCAGCTAAGAGTGTTCGTCGATTTTTTATGATTTAATATATTTCTGTGTTGTATGTTATTCCTAAAGCGCGCCGTCTTACTTTTTTTTATATCTCTAACAATTTGTTTAAATTTGACATTTTAGTAAAGTTGAACTTAACTTTTATTTTCTATAATAATTATGTAACGACGTTGAACATTTTCCTCTGTTACGGCGATAGACATACAATACATTTTATTTTTTGTGATATTTGATTTTAACAACCGATCTACCTGAATATGAATTTAGTCTTAACAATTTGTAAATATTAGTATTAGAAACAGGTTTATAAAAATAAAAGGTTTTATGAAATGTGTGGTTTTTTATTATTATTATTATAAGTCATTTAATCCGCTACAAATCCACTTACAACAAATAAAGGAAAATGTGGATAGAATGCCTTATTTAAAGTTGCGGTTCTCTTGCCACATTCTCAACAAACCAAGGAATAAACCACTTTTAACGGTTTAAAAACTTATTTTTAACATATCATAGCATATAGTCAGTTACTACTTCCACTAGTTTTCATTAGATTTTTAGTTTAGTATCTGAAACTACGACTAATTAAACAATACACTTACTTTTATAAAAAAAACTTCCCTTCCCTCATTATTTTTATTGTCTCTAGGACTTGAAAATTGCTTTCTATCACTGCAGCCTGTAGACAAAAAAATACAAAACAAATAATATATATAAACAAGCTTTTATTGAATATAAAAATCGACAGCAAATATACAAACAATTCACATCTCCCATTCAAACAACTTTGGTCAAATCTACAAACAAATTTTACAAATCAACAATTTTTGGTAGTGAATGATTAATTATACAAATTTATAATTTTGAATAATCAAACTGATGTTGAAGTTAACTTGGGTTTCATCAAATCGCTTTTTTTGCCTTAAAACACTATCTATACAAACGAAACGAGATTTCTCACAAATAAATCAGTTAGAAGCGCTTACACTACTCTAATTCTGTTAATCCTAGAGCTTACAATGGAAATTTTACATTTTTGATATTATCATTCCAAAACATTGTGTTACGCCTTAGTGTGTGACCAGCTTATTAACTTAAATAGTTTAAACAAAATACATAACGCCAATTTGGGCGAGCCAAAAACAATAGTGAATCACGCTTTCATTATTTATTCTAAATCACTATACAAACAGATTTGACCACAACATAAGGGAAGAAAAAAATCAAGCTTGAGATCGGGAACCTCATGGCACCATAACAACAGGTATTCCTCCAAATCAATCTCACCTGAAGTTATTGTGCCATGGTTGACTAACTAAGGACGCCTCACCAGGTGAGGTTAGTCATTATAAATACAAATCTTAAATCATACGATACGGAGACAGTTTAGTAAACCGCATTATCTAGATATTAGGAAGCGAAAAAAAAAATGGTTTAATTTTATCACACCACACCCAAATAAAGAAAAAAAATACATAGTTGCTTCGATCTGTCATGATCAACATCTTTGAGTGAATACTAGTGACCGTGTCGACATCTTGCCGAAGCTATAATTCGCTTCGCTCTGGTGTGAGAGCCTAATCCGCACATAAAATTTATAGAAGGCACTATATCTTAACCCTAAACTAAGTCTTATCTAGCAAAATTATAAAATATTCCATGTACCTACGCTATCTTAGTAACTTTTTACACCTATACATATTGTTTGAATATAAATATTACATTTTATTTTTTCTTAGCTGCCTACCGCTAGTTATGAAATTCGATTTATTCTGTAGCACAAACCACACGGCAAACTGGACGTATCGTTCTAGCCCCGTTTTTTTACACCTACGACTAAATTTTCATACACATATCACAAATAATGGAAAATGGAAGAAGTATTTTGTGTCATACAGACTTTTAGCCGCGAGGAACAATTGTATCACAAATTATTATTTCATGTTCTAGGACGTCGCGAAATCATGTCCGTAAGACGAGGGTAGTTTTGAATGCCGACCGCATTATTTAAGGTAACTGAGGGTAAATACATTATGACATAAGTACAGTGACACTAATTGTAACGTCGCAAATTTTTTATGTTAAAAAATGGACGCCGTATTAAACACTTCATATAAAAGATTATTTTTCTCGAGGGTAGTCTGCCAATATCAATACTAAGACAACTCCAAACTTTAAATACTGTCAAAAGATCTAGATAGATCTTTATTATAGATCTATAGATCATTACAGTTAAAGCAATATTTTGATTACTTTTACGAGGTTTTAATATTAAAACAGCGAGAACTGGGACTACGGCCTAACTTTTATATACAACTTAAATTTATTACGAGACATTTTGTACCGCTGAAAGACTACTTGAATTGTGCGCATTACAACTATTGTTTACCTTAAGGCACATCGTTAATATTATTTAAGGCACGTAAATAGAACTTCTGCTTGTTAGATTTAGCTTGGTGGGTTAATACGGTGAGATAAGCTAACTTAGGATTACCATAACATGGGAGATACTTTCATTATAAGACCGGTTTAGACATTGGTGGGTTATGCGTGGACGAGGTATACCGTTATCTGCTCCCAACAAATCCGCAAAGTTGGTCCCAAGTCTGCTTAAGAATGGTATCTCACTTGCCTGTCATCGGATTTTAAACAAATCTATTGTAAAAACTATTTGGTACAGTAATAAGATTTAAAACACTAACGGTTTAAAACGCGAAATATATTACAATTTATTTTAACTACGGTCCGCTTCAGATGCTTTGCCGCAGCCATAGTTAAAATAGATTGGTTATAAATTAAATAATATATTTTTTCGTTTTAACCCGTTTAAAATTGTTTTATATAAATTTGTACTACTCGCGTTAACTACATAATGAGTAATATTATTGTATAAAAGAAATGTAGTGCAGCAAATTTTTATTACACTTACTTTAAATATTAATTTTCAAACTGGCAATAAAAAGGGGCCATGGAAGTTTTAGTGTACTCTTAGTATATAACTTAATATAAGCAGACTTGAGAGCCGAACTATCACAATGGCTAGAAAATGTTGCTTGTATTAATATCAGTATCATAGTATCCACTGTTGTTGAATATTTAAACATTCATACTGCAGCCAGGCCAGCTGCTACTCGAGATATCATTTAGGCCATTTGCAGTAGTGATTGTTATACTAGTATTATAGCAAAGGTACTAAGGCCTAACTGACTGTCACAAGATATATTTCACTTATTCATCTTATATTATAAACATAGTGTATACGGTCAAGCAGATCACAGACGAGGGTTTTTTAGGAAAATATATTAATACAGTATCTCCAAGTTGTAAGTATGTTAGATAATTTTGAGTTAATGTTTTGATTAATAAAAAAAAAGTGTATATCAGCTGACGTTTTGTAATGTTGCTATATAAAAAAATATTTGATACGTCGTCTGTGACGCCCTTAACTCGGATACAAATATAACTTATATAGTCTGTAATAAATAGTTTTGCTTCGATTAAAATTTACTCTTTACACCTTCCCCTCGCTCCGGAGACGCGGTTGCGGGAAGTTATCCCGGTCCGCACCATGTCCTGGCTATCTGAACCCAACTGCATTCGGGGTTGTAAGCGTTTCGACGCTCTGGTCCGGTATTTCGTCGAGTCGCGGCCTGGCGTCAGAGGTTTTACGCATCTGCTGCAAAGGCAAGGTCCAGATTTAAACTAAATACGTACTAGCGAATTTTACAGCTGGGACCTTTAAATGTCGTAAATTAAAAATCGATTATAAATTGAAAAAATTACGACACGGGACTTGAACCGGCATGCTTAGCGGTCCGTGCTGTTGCTCTAACCAATGGAGCTACCGAGTCCTACACGAGTTGATAGAAATTTATGATGTCTTAGAACCCAAATTCCATAAGTTTTCTTTAGATATTACTATGTAAGAATGTACATAACCATAATTATTAATAGTACACGATAGTGGACCAAACTTCTGATGCTGTCTATATCTATATAATGTATGTATAAAGTCGGGTTGGTCCTTCGAGCCGGTTTTAAGTAGTGACTTTTTTTTAAATGGTGATGGTGTGAATGTCTAAGGCCGGCAATAGTGATCTGGGGAGTGTGATGAATCGTACTACGACCTTCTCGGAGACAATAGACGACCAGAACTTAACACACCACCAACCCGCTACGGTGCTTTCCAGGGACTCATGGGGATACGCTTGTAAGACTCTGAAGCATTAATTAGTGACTATAAATGTAAATATTCACCTCGTCTCACGCGTGGGACCGGGCAAGACTCTATTGAGGAACGGCGAAGTGGCCAAACGAATCATCTCATCGATATTATCTGCCCGGGGCTGCAAGCGTTTCGATGAGCGAGTGCGAAATTTCCCGGATTCTTGTACGTTTGGCGTAAGTGATTTTATGCATCTGAAAAATTCAATTTATTAGTTCTACATTCCAGATGATCTAAAAAACCAACACAAATACTATTGTTATTGTTTATTTTCATTCACTATGTTTGTCTGTTTAGCAAAATTTGTTAGCATTGAATCCTGGTTAATTGGAATCTTAAGACATATGAATATTAAGGGTCCATCCAGTTTTCTAATTAAACATGTTTAATTTTATAGTTGTCTCGTTTAAAGAGACCGCCGCGTTTGTTTGTAAAGAAACATGTTAAAACCTGGTTAATTTCTCACTTATAGAGGTAATTTAGCTATGGAGTCTCAATTATAGGGGCAGTTTTTTTAGGCAATATAAAATGGATTTTAAGACGCTGAGTGACCTATATATGATAAACATAATATGTACATAGAAACAGCTTACCTGGCAGCTTGTTCTAGCTTGCTATTGAGCAGTTCATTCTTTAGTTTCGCTTCAGCAAGCTCGCGACGCAACTGCGCCTTGCTCTTGTTGCCGGATGGATGGAGCAGTGGATGTCGGCGGAGACTCGCAGCTGAGGGCCGCTGGGTGGGGTCTGGATCGACCATTTTCTAAAACAGAAAATGTCAAAATCAGTTATATATAATGTCAACCTCATAATTTCAGTAATGTATGTAGTTTACGAGAGTATTTCGCATTTAAATAAAACACTCAACTGTTTTAAACACAAAATATATTAGTTAAACTTATACAAACTGATATATAGATAGATAAACGTTTTATTTGCTCATACTTAGCATTTGTTATTTTTTATTTACAGCAATTGCAACACTGTCTATTCGTTAAAGCTTCATAAATATATTATTATATATAATTTAAAATTTGACATATTTGTGAGTTGCAAGACTTTTGCTAATAACTTAACCACTCCTTATTATGTATTCTGTAGACATACCTTTAAGAGATCATTGAACTCCCGCGAAATATTCGGGAGATCTGGTAACCTGGATTCCCTGTAGTCGTGCCATTTATCACCATTCTTCGGCAGGGGCCCACCGCCAGCCGCTTCGAAAAGGGTCAGACCTATAATAAACAATAACATAACATTGATAACCGTTGAGGACACCGTTGTTTTTAGAAATTGTATTTGTTACGAATTAAAAAAAATATATTAATATGTATTCAAAAAGTATAAATCGAGATAACATATACACGAGTGATCGTGTTAAGGAGTTGGAAGCAGAAATATCTCACTCTAACGAGCAGTATTCATTCACAGACAAGTAATTCATATCAGAGAAAAATATACATTTTCTTATAATATTAACTCGTTGGTTATAAGCCATATATTGCTACTGTTACACCAACATAGGTACACATAAACCACAGAGTATTAAAAAATAATAAACATACCGAAAGCAAATATGTCCGCCTTAGTGAGGTGGGAGAAGTCTTCCTGGAGTATCTCGTTGGGCAGATATCGGCAGTCGCCCTCCTCCACCAGAGGGGCAGAGATGCACGTCACGTGGCCCAGGTCACCTGAAAAAAAAAGGAAATTAATTTAAACTTGATGGACCCTTATTTTTGATATAAGATATGAAATAGTGTATTTAATTATCACAGTAGGTATTAGTTAATTATCATTCAAATACAATTGCTTGTTTCCTACAAATGTTTTGAGGTGACGTGAAACAAATTACAGCCATTTCACGGCCATCGTTCAGCATAATATCATGTCGAAATTCGGGCTGTACGAATTGATTCACTTGCTCGAAGAATTAATAATTATTAATTCTTCGAGCAATCGAGGAGTTAACATCTCCTGATGATGCCATGTCCAAACGTGATGGTGAAACGTCGAAACCTCTTCTTGCACACATCGGCCAAACAGCCCGAAAGAGAATGATACGCGGATCTTTATTGTCACAGTTAGCGTGCTAAACGTAGTCTGAATCACAGAGAAAATTTTCTAAAACCCAGGCAAGTACTAGAAATTCCCGAAAATAATTACGAGAGCACATAATCATTATTTATTTTGAGACAAATTTAGAATCGGGCACCTCATGATCTACAGTTGATGCTACTAACCACTAAACCACCTGAATGATAATCGTTTTACAAGAACGAAGTACTCACCAATCTTATACTTGTGCTTGGCAATTGGTCTACTCGGGGCCTCGTCATCATCATAACCATCATCGGAGTCAGAAGTGGAAGCCAGATCCTCACGGCATATGAAAATGTTTCCAGGCTTCAAATCCATGTGCACCAAGTGCATTGAGTGAATGTACCTGTAGATAAATTTATTTTTAGTATATCTTAGCTTCAGCTGATCTCCTATAACACTCAGCAACACTTTGTTTGAACGCGCTTATCTCATCTCAGGAATTGTATAGTAGCAAAAAACCAATTGAAAATATGTGAAAAGAAGACGTAGTAGATGTCACACTGGACGAACTATTTGATATCAATCTTCTACTTACGATAAACCATCTCCAATATGAGCCAGAAGCAGCAACAATTCACTCTCAGGCAACGGTCCAGCTTCTAACTTCTGTTGTAACGAACCACCATCGCAATATTCGTTCTGTATTATCATGTGGTCATCTTCTGCCCAAGCCGAGTAATACCTACAAAGAGAAAACACTGTTAGTACTAATATACTTATTTCATACTAAAGAATACAGACATTTCCTGTAGCACTATACTTTGAAATGTCAGTACTTTATTCAAAGCAGAACCGTTTATTAATCAAAATTGTAATTTTAAAATGAATAGGCCGACAACGCATCTTATTTAGATGTCATATGGCTGAGGTATTTCGCCGTCTATTAAATGAGTCTTCACTCTCCAAACTTTTTGGCCGGGCTGAAGTTTACGCCACTGCCATTTTGCGCATGGTACTGTCAATATTAAGCAACACGTCGCCCTGCACCCGCGCACCCCTCTTGTCGCAACTGATACCTGCTTTTTGCGTTTGCGTTGCGCAACCATTATTATTACGTTTGGAGAGCACTGTAGATTGTTATAAATTTAACTGAAAACTTACCTAACGACGTGTGGGTGTTTTCCAAGCGCCGCATGCGCATACACTTCGTTAATAGCAGCCCGCTCTGCGTAAGACCCGGCGACGGGCCGAAGCGATCTCTTCAACGCGTACACGCATCCGTCTAATTTGTTGAGACATTTCGTGACCCGTCCGAACGAACCGCAACCAATCACACCCAACTCTTGGAACTCGACGTTGTAACGGGATATGTTTGATTCCTAGATGACAAAAAATAGAAAAATTAAAAATAAATTTAAAAAAAAGTAAAATAAAGTTTTAGTTTATTTAATAAATTAGGCTTCATTGCACTGTACAAATCACATACAATATTAAATTGATCTTACCCTAAGTCGCTTTGTTGGATTTTCTGGTGTTTTGCTACTATCGGTCGGCGTTTTTGGTAGTGCACGCTTTTTCTTATTTATTGCTTGACCTGCGAACGATAGAAATTGTATAAACTATGTATTTTTCGAATATCAAAAGCAAAAACAAAGGTAGAGAGCGTATCTCATTCAGATGTTATATTGCGTGGGGTTATTTCACCTTCCATCAGGTGAACTTTATATGCTTGTTTGTCCTCCTCCGTCCCAGACATCAGACCCAGGATAGATGGGTTCCTTTTCTATTCTTTCTCTTTTTATATTAAAATGTAACCTCATCTTTAATATTATTATTTTAACCTATTAATGCCCCATAAAATAATGAATATAATGAAACACAACAATATTAATATGTAATTATTGTAATGTATGTACTTACCGTCTGGTGTAAAAGGGTTGATGATCACTGTCGGAGGCTTGACTGAGCGGGGCTCTTCAATCTCATCTGGGGTGAAGCTGTGGAATGCACTGTCTTCTTGCCAAGTTGTAACATTTGTTGGTGGGTGGAGGTGATGACTTGAGCCAGACGGCATGCCTGGTAAAGTGTTAATTATTAAAATTTGATATCTAATGAGGATATAGGACAAACGCTAACAATAAACTGTAAACTTCCAACTGTCAAAAATTACCATTTCTTCAATGTTTAAATTCAAATTCATAACTTTTTATTTCTATTCAGATATGTACAGTAAAGTTATAACTAAATTGGTCAAAAAAAAAAAATATATATATATATAATGAATACATAAGAAATGGCAACTAGTAAGAGTCTCGGCTGTGCTGCTGAATGCTTGTCATACTCAGCAGCTCTGCAAGACCAAGCCAAGCGTTTATTTTAAAATTTGTTTATTTTCAATAAACTTACCCGAAGGCACTTCAAGATATGGTGGAAATAGTCTGGCTCTTGATCTATTTATTGATGGTGTTGAACATTTTTCGAATAGTGTCTTTGGTGTGCGTGGACTGTCAAATAATCTGGAAAATTTAAGACATTTGAAATCTTAATTTTTTCGTGTTCCAATTTTAATACAAATATTGTTAGAACTTTGACAAACAAGTAATAAAATGCAGAGACCAAGCTAGTCCATTTAATTATGCATAGTAATTTTTTCCCTAAATAATATAAGCATACAGACAAAAATTATATTTCTCTTATAATATGATAGAGAAAGTCAGATATTGTTTGACCTGTCTAATCTTAACAATGATGTAACAAATGCAAATAAAAACTTTTATCAGGAAACACCTGAGGGATGAAACTTTAGAAAAAAAATCTGAATACACCAAGATAAAAATCCACTAACAAACGCAGGTAAACATAATGTTTTAATCAAAAATAGTTCTTCTTTAAATGAAATAAGAAAGATATTTGTATACACAACGCAAAATCCATTGCATGAACCAACAAATGCGCGAGCATAATAGAAATTTGTTCTCCTTGCAAAATAAATCTTCTTCACCTTGTGTCAAGGTGCAGATTACAAAGACAGGTTTTTGTCAAGGTGTTACCATTATACTGCTTTTTTGTGCCAAAATCGTAGGAGTTTTAAGTGGGCAGATGTCAGCTGTTCTTGAATCATATGTTTTATTTCGTGTAACTGTAGTTAAACTGATTTTTAACCGAAATTCTATGTGAAATTCTTATTTATCATCACTACATAGTATGTATAAAACAAAGTTGCTTTTTCTGTCTCTATGTACGCTTACATCTTTAAAATTACGCAACGGATTTTAATGCGGTTAATTTAATAGATACGAGTTTTCCAAGAGGAAGGTTTTCATATACATCGTTCAGTTTATTGTGTAGTGTATTTAGTATCAGCATTGCACCCGAGCAAAGTTGGGGTGGTAAAGAAAATGTAGGGAGTAGACATAGTAAGAGTGTTTTATCATGTATATCTATTTTTCGTTGTTTAAACCCTTAAGGATGCTGTGACAATATATAAAAATCTTAATTATAAACCACATCGATTATATTTAATGTCTTTTTTTAAAAGTTAGGTCTTAAACAAATTTTAAGAATTTTTTTATTTTTACATGACAAATGAAATTACTAGGTATACGGAGTATATTGTTCAATTTTTATCATGTGTAAAGTTAAGACCTTAAGCAGTCATCTCAATGTGCAGTCGTGTTAGACCAGTACGACTACCAGCTTCCCTCGTAGAGATAGTCCCCGACTAAATAGACATCTTACAATGATAGGAATAGGACCCCCTATGTGCGGGGTGCAGAGAAAGTGAGGACACAAGCATCCATCTACTCACTGAATGCTCTGCGTTCTCGAGACTAAGACAAATGCATATGGGTTCGGATGAAGTTACAGAAGATGATATCAAAGAACTACAGATGGAAAAAATAATAAAATTCTGCAAGCAAACTGGAAGGTTTAAAGGGGACACGGGGAGAGTTGGATGGTAATGGGGAAATAGGTGAAATGGTCGGCGGATAACGTGGACTGATCACCCGTCCTGCTGCGGGTGTCCCCGATATAAAATAATAATATATAGTATACAAGTATATATTACTTCTTGAGACACATTTATGGAAAGTTAACTTTTGCCAAAATTTGTGTTACAACAACCAAAAACTGGTATTATTTGGGTCAGTATTGAGGAATGAAGTTAACAATAAGGAAACCAGTTCCCTATTACATGTTTAAACATGTTTTCAGATGATAAGACAGGACATGTTTTTTGCTTAGAGGTCAGAAGCATTAAACACACTTTCTAATTGTTATATAAGGTCCTTCAATCTTTTTAATGTGTCAATAACTGTTTTACATAATATTTGTTTGTTCTGCCATCAATGATCTATAACAATACAGCTACATACAGGTAAAACAGTATCTGGTATTAGTCTAGCACGGAAACACATGCTATAACAGTAGCAAGTATAAGTATCTGACGATAATTATGAAATAACTACTACACTAATAATAACTTTACATTGACTAAATAGAATTAAGAATGTAACTGTACAATTAAAATGTTAAACATCCATTTTCACACCTTTCGCACATCTAGTAGGCACACATCTATTTCAGTCTTGTCTGTGTCACGTTATGTGAAAGGTAATAAATATGTTACAATATGATAGAAATGCAAATTTGTGCATATTCTAGACTTTTGTATAACTTTGTATTATACTTTATTCGTGTATTTTTATTGTACAACTATTACTAATTATTGTTCAAAACAGTATGTATAAAATTAAGATTAAATTACTTCCTTTATTTAAATAAAACACTTTAACGGTTCGCATAATTACTGCTGCTTTGGGGAGGGCGTGGTCTCGGGTGCTGAAAAACATCCGAAACGTCGGGCCGAAGTTAATATTTTTATATATCTCTAAAGTTAAAGTTTTTTTTTAAATTTTTAACCCCCCCCAAAAAAAAAAAAAAAAATTTACTCCCTTTAAAAAAAACTCTAAAGTTAGAGATATACAAAATGGTTACTTGAATGTTAAAAATATTTCTCGGGGACTAAGTAAACATGTACTAGTAACTTACTAAGTAAGCTTACTTCGACTAAGAATTATTTTAGCATATAATTGTAATTTCATATAAGAGCAGTTTGGATTGTTATAAAATTGGTTAGCTATATACTTAGTTAGGCCCCGATTTGATCAAACAAACATTTACTTGCAATAGCTGGATTGATCAACTTTGATGCATCTGCTATCTTTACGAACTAATTGGAAATGGTAAAATATAAATCAGTCGGTTTTACAAAAATCGTATCGAGAACAAAATGAGAACGAAACTACAAACGTGGTATTTTGGGAAGGGAGGAGGAGCATAGGAAATTAGATGTGGTCTACTTACGTCAAAGCACCAACTCGCTTATAAGGTGGACTGAACGACATCGGAGGTGTAGAAACTTTTCTGCCACCATCATCATCGTCCACATTGTTAAAATCCAATTTCCTGGGCACAATCGTGGTCGGAGGGATAGGACTCAAATTGCTAGAAAACGTATTGAAAGAGTCTGACATTTCACTAGACGTTTCCACTGATAGTTCAGAATGATTATAACCCGTCTTCATTCTGTACCAATCACTCATGATGTTGCACTTATTTAATTCACTATTTGAACATAAAAACACAATAATTCTACAATAATCCACACAATTAAACAAAAGCTCACTTTCACAAATTCTAAAACGTTATGGCGGATGACGCATAGCACCTGTTAACTATTCGGCCAATCACAGCGCGGAGTTCGACCGGTGAGATTAAAGTTTAAATTCTATTGGGTAAACAGTTTTTTTTAAATAAACAGCTTCTCGAACATTTGTTGTTTATGATTTTCTCTATGGCTGCTAAAGCACAGATACGCAATATAGACTTAAAATATAATTGCATTTAGCGCAAATTAAAAAAATATATATTTTGTTAATAATTTCCCGTATTATTCATATTACGAGCAATAAAATATTACTATGATTTTTGTGCGTGACGCTAGCGTCATTTTGCCTTTTGTCACAAGATGTCGCCGTAATCAATTAAAATAATGACAAGTAATACCTACACTATTCATGGCTAGATGTCGCAGCTTTGGCGAATGAACCGGTTTATTTTTAAATAGAATTATTAATAACATTTTATTGTTTCTATAAGTACTATACCTTAATAAATGACAAATTTTTTATTCCATTAAAAAAAGTAAGACAAAAGAGCTTTGCACATTGAGTTGTTTGTGTAAGTAAATGAGAAAAAGTGTGAACACTTAGAAGGTTCATTAAAACAATAAATACTAAAAAAGTACATCTAATATAGGTACATACTTACAATTAGTAACTCTCAAGAAGAAGAATTAAATGAAACATAAGACTTTGCTATATGCTAGGGTTATCGAAAATACTCGTACGTCATAACTATAAGTTCGAATGTATTTCATTCATTAAATAATGATAATAATATTTATGACGAAGTGATGGCGACAGTTGATACACATTTGCGCGGGAATCGCACGTGCCGCCATCTTTTGTCTAATTTGATCCGCTTCTATTTCTTAATTAGATACGCAGATTATGATTTTGTCAGACTTACAATAAAAGGATCATAATATTAAGTTTTATTTTATGAGTAAAAATAAATTAGCGTTTTAGAAGTTCATGGTTCTTTTCATTTATGAAATTTAAATGTTATGGTTTAAATTAATTTTCTGGTTTATAAACGATTAAATTATTAATCTGTAAAACATAAAATACACTCTTTTATTTTTAAGGTTTTATTGACGAATGAGACTATAAATGTTATACCTTTGAAAATAGACAGTAGATCCGTGACCACGGTTGCTGTAAAGCATCTGGACCGTCAGGTCGTAGTTCAAATAAATTATAAAATAAGTTATCTATCAAATATACTTCGCCATTAAAACCATTAAAAGTGTTTTATTTATATATGTAATTAGTGATTTAAATAATCCACTACCCACTTATCACATATACACAAGAAAAAAGGGTCAGTATGTAGGTATGTTGATGATTTCGAACCATTTAAAAAGTAAGGTATTTTAGGTACGAAATTCTCTTGATAAATAAATAATGTAAATTGATAGACAATTATATTATCTTGCTCAAATGGATTGTTTTTTCGAAACTGTGACCTACTCCGAGTCAAATCTATGCCCGAGCGTAAAAGCACCGTAAAGACACCCCTCGTTAGCATACGTTATTTATACAATTACACAATTTGACATGGACAGTTGCGAAGGGTTAACGTCAAAACACTAGTTAACCATTGAAAGGGTTTAATGTGCCTATTTTTAATGCTCAATTATTTTTATATTAATGGCCAATACGATTTTTTAAATGAATTTCATGCTTAAATTAGAATATAATATTTTTTAAATCCTCTCATAAACCCAAAGCTAATATATACATATAAGGCAAAAGCTACTACTACTTATATAATCTGTAGATTAATAAAATACTACGTAAGTGATCATTAATCTAGGTTCGACCTGTTAATATAACAGGTCGAAATACCAACCCAACCAACACATGAAAAACATCCGTCTGGTTGAAGTTAAAAATTAATAACTAATATTATTTTTATTTTAAACGATTAAAAAAAATGGCGCATCCAATCAGCAGGGGGGAATCGAAGCTACAGGATTTGTGGAAAGGGAATTGCTCGAGAGGTAAGATAATGGGAAGTCACCAAAGTAGTTACAAAAGCTCAAGGTAAACTAAACTTATTACTGACTAAACTATTACTTTGCCTATATATCCTAGTAGGTATTGCCGTGGAAATTAGAATTTAGATATGACTACGGGACAAATGCTAAAAACATAATTGTTTAGTATTTCTTCTCGTTTAAAATCTATTTTCTTATGTTTGATTGGTTAATCGAAACGATTAAAAGCAGCTTTTAATACAACATCGCCTTTATTACACGAGCTATACAATTTGCGCCAACTTACATTGAAAAAGGCAATTCCTTACGATACAATAAATAACAATGAACAAGTCATATTCGTTTATACAATTTTCTCCAGACTATAAACCATTACTCTCCTTCAAACACAGACGTATAAAATTCATACAATCCAACGATTACCCTCTTTTTTCAATGTTAATAAGAATTTTGATCCAGAAATACCGATTCTACCCTCAATATTTAAGCTAGTAAGTTACAAGTACGGAAGAGGTCGCCTACGTCGTTTTTAGCTGCGTTGCACAGCCAATAACAAAAGGTGGGAGGGGCTCATTTCAAAATTGGAACGCTTTTTCTTCGAAACGCTCTTTCAGTTGGAATGCAGTTAGTCTTGAATTTTGAACGTAACGCGATGGTTGCGTCAAGAACAGCTCTAACGAAAATGTCTTGTAAACAAAAATATATGTAGGTAACATGTGGAATCTACTGCACTCTTTAAACCTTACCTGAAAGCTTAATAATCCTCCACAGATAATTGTAACGATGCGTCAGTTTGCTCCGACCTGAGGCAAAAAGATTTTTTTTATCTTTACCTAATGTCAAGGAGACAGCTTGTCCATATTTAGGTATTAATTTCAAAAAAGTAATATTGACTACTTTGGTATACAACTTCACTTAGCATATCAATTATAATCCTATAACTTCAATTTATATAATACGTATCTATATAAACAGTCAATCAGATTATTTAAGAGTCTAAATAAAACACTTTAACGGTTACGCGATATATTAGTTAAACTTATTTGAAAATGCTTTTTTACTTCGGCCCGACGTTTCGGATGCTTTGCAGCAGCCGTGGTCACGGAGAGTCTCCCCGGGAGTACTTTTAAGAGTACTTAGTGTGATATCACGGTAGATATATTCGTGTTATATCTAGAAGATAGGAAAAGCACTTACAACATAACTTAATAACCACTTCTTTTATAAATTATCGTTCTGCCAGGTAAAAAAGAGAGACGTATATGAAAGAATTAAAAGCGAAATATCAATTCAAATTAGCTGATAAAAAATCATAAACGTTAACATCCTTCTGTCTTTATTTAACCTATGAATAAGGCTATCTGAAATCATAATAACTCAACAAAACTCTCTTAAAACTCGCTAAGCTCTTATTAACATGAAATAAGGTCGAGTTTCCAATATTTGTCCCACGGGATAAAATGGCGTTCTTATCTCGCGAACCATTTTATCTGACCCCTATTACTGTACTCGTTTTCTTTTCTTAAACCTCAACATTTATAGAGAGAGAAGGGATAGAAAGTTCATGTTACATTGGGTGCCTTCACAAAAGCTAAAAAGCCACCCCAAAGACCGCCCCTTTATCAACCACTCCCTTTCGAATCAGTCCTCTATCAACCTTCGCAGGGGATGCATGTATTTCTACACAAAATTTCAAATTTCGAACGTACCATAGGACAATGACAGCTCAGTTAGTGATGTGATAGCTATTTTTAGCTCATGTAACATATAATGTACCCAACAGATAATATCAAACATGGACTAAAAATAAATCCGTTCATAAAAGAAAATATGTTGAAAACTATTCAAAATCTGTGCTACAACAATTCGAGTTCGAACGGTTTTAATATGACGTCACCGTTTCTGGTGGACAACATTTTGCATCAACAGAAATCGGCGATACACAGTCAATACTTGAATCAACAGTTGGAGTTCCTGCAACGCACCAATTACGAGAGATCAAGGGAGAATTCGCCGGAAATCGACGAAACGAAGATGGCTGAACAGGACGACGAAAGAAACGAAGAGACCACAGACAAGGCGGACGATGAAGACTCGAAGAGCGAAGAAGGTTTTATTAAGAACGAAGTGGTATATTACAACCATGATTATTATAGAAGTGAAGATCGTGAGAAGGAGGTTCTAAATATCCCTAATGTAAATCGACGGTGTCACTGCGGTTCGTTCGACTGTCCGCCGTTCTCCTGTAAGAAGTCGGGGATCAGGCGACTCGAGGAGTTGGAGAAGCGATTCAACCTTCACAATTATCAGGACAACTCAGACGAAGACGTTAGGGAGAAGACTGAGGACATGGTTAAAAGTTGTGACGATTATAACGAACAGAAAAAACCTTTGTTGAAATTCAGTGTTAGTGCTATTCTGGGGGAGGAGACGGCGAAAAACAATGTTAACGGTGAGTAACAAATACTGAGTAAAATAATGTTTTTTTTTTATGATAGAAGAGAACAGACAAGCACGGAGTTCACTCCATTTCTCAAGATGTCGCGGCGCTGTCGACTTACTTATGCTATAAGTAGATATTAAAAAATCTACAGATTGCAAACGATATGCGATTAAACTCCACGGGTTTTTCATCTGTGGAACGCTTGTTTGTGATCCGAACAGGATTTCTATATTTCTACCACCCAAAAGGGTTACTTTATTTATACAATTGTTAACAAACATAATATTCGAGTTCGTTTGAAAATACTCAGTCACTTACTTCAATTTAATTTCGTAAAACATGTAGGTATATTACAGGGACATTGTTTTTTTTTGTGTTTATAATATAATATCATGTTATATAATATATATTGTAAATAAATATTTTCTTATTCGACTATGGAACGCGTTCTTAAGTTAGGTATTCGTTTGTTATTTATTGTTTGATCTGGCTTCGAATATAATAGGTATGACCTACTTCAAATCTCTTTTGCCTCAGACATGTTGCAACCACATTTTGCCATTGGATTTTATGTAAGCACAGGCCTGACAATTCTGATTACCTACTTAGGTAATCAGAATTGTCAGGCCTTGTCATGCATTTACCCTGCCGAAGCAAAACCTTTTGGATGGGATGTAAACCCACGACCACTTGTGCTTATCCAGAGTGAGTTGCGGAGGCTGATGTTGTTGTAGTCGTTTGAGTGAGCGTTATCTACTATACAACAGATTACAAATACACATCTAAATATAATATTTTTAACGCGTATAACGTGAAATAGCAAGTTTACTTACGATTTTGTTATGAATTATTTATTTTTTTAAACCTGAAATGAACGAAATAGATTGATGGGTAAAATAGTTAGGGTGTTCAATAAAAACAAATGAAAGCTTTCATCGGTTCTTGAGTCTCGCGATTTTGTGTTTTTTTTTTTTTGTATTTAGACCGCAATTTATTAGTTACGTGACACCTATATATTGATACTAATAAGGTCTAGATTTTAACTAAATCTACATGAGGCCGATTGTAGTTTGCGCTATAACATTTTTGACGATTTAACTACGAAATAAATTAGTTAACTTCTTTACAATTTATTTTGACTACGGCCCGACATTTTTGCTACTTGGCAAAATGAGCATCTACAACGTCGAGTTTTGTTAAAATAAACCTCATTTCAAATGTGTAATTTTTATAGATAGGCTTTAATAACAAACATAACAGTTTACACGAGTCAGACATTTGGTTAACTATTACCTAATAAGTAATCCTATTTTAATTAGGTATGATTATTTCGGACGCTTTGCACCCACCCATGGTCGTGGGAGAATTTATTGTACAGAATTAAATATTTCGGATTAAAAAAAAAAGTTTGTTTGTCAGTTTGTCAAAAGTGTTTTTCTATGTATACTACTCGTGTTAACTACAGACAATATTTAGATATCGTTTTGAGAATGAAATTATCAACTAGATGTATTGCCTCTCGGGAGACAGCCGTCGGTTTTGGTTTTATTTTAACACGCCATGGAAGAACGTAAGGGGGGGTCGAAGATCTTAAACCCTATTAGAGAGGAAAAAAATCATTGTAGCATAATATGTAATGATAAGTTGTAACGAGATTAGACTTTCCTTCGATATTAAAGACATAACAATTATCGCTATCAACAAATAGCGTGATTCCATCCAACATCTTAATTCACTGAAACTTGCAATATGGCGCTGACTTTTTCAATAAAATGGCAACATCTGGTCGGACACTTAAGCGCGGGGGCGGGAAAGAAACAGAAGCACGATTCAGTGGTGAGCTAGAGCGGGACGAATGGACGCGGGGGGTCCACGGCGAAATTAATATGTCCTTTTCTTAACATTTTCGTAGGAAACGCTTTATTATTTTATTATTGATGTCGAGATTTCTCTATTAATATGTTTTGTTATTAGTGGTCTATTAGGGCACGGATGTTTCACTGTTTCATACAACATCTATAGATGTATAACTAACTACAGATAATAAATAGGTATGTAAACAATTGTCCAACTAATTCTAACAAGAAAACTTACTTATTATAAGTTAAGTATTATACACTCTTAATTAAAAAATGTAAAGAAAACATGTAAATTTGATAAGTAATATAATCTGTAGGTAGGTGTCTATGAGTGTCAAAGAGTATATAACTATATTAGTTGAAACCGCTATAATAGCCTGTAGGAACCACAAAAACACCAAGACCCCATCGCAACGAAAATATCAGAAATTCAATTTTATTATGCATTTCGGGTCCGAACTTGCATATTAACATGTCATCGGGCGCCATATTGGGAAATTCGAATCTGGAACGTTGGAACGATTCGATTCCAATTTCAACCTTACGATATCCGTTATAGCAGTGATTTTATCGACTATAAAGAATTGACTGGTGAATCGTTTAGGAAAGTTTTCGATTATGGAGTGAAATAAAAGAGGGAGGGTAGGTTGATTGTTTCTGCAGGTGCTTTTCATTGCTATACATTTGATCTTGACGACTGTTCGATTGATAGGAACGGCGGGTGTTATTGACTTTGTGGCAATAGAATTGGAGGTAGTTTTGTGAATATATGCCTTTTATTGATGTGTTATTAGCTACCTGCTTTTGTTTTGGGAAATCAGGAGAACTACTCTCTTTTGAAGTCTATGTATACATATTGTAATTGTAGGTATTTAAATCTAAACAGAAACGAATGTTTAATTTTGTGTCTGTAATTGTTATTTTCATCAAAGAAATCAAATCAATGAGCTATATTTGCTCATGTTAGCATTTTTAGGTACCGTACACACGTTCATGAATCCAAAACACTGTTAGCTATAATTATTTAAATTAATATCATAAAATAGGAAAAGAAAATAATGCCTGACACGGTAGCTCAATTGGTTAGAGAATTTGTCAATTTGTCATCGATTGTTAATTTAAATAATACCTTAATAGTTTGTAAAATACGGTCTTATCGCTAAAGTGTACTTTTCCCAAACTACCCTAAATATATTACAAAACGCGATGCAAGATAGTATAATAAGAAGCTACTTAGATTACTAATCTAATCGAATTTATTCGACCTATTCGACCAGTAGGTACCTACTAAGATGAAAATGCCCACCCGTTTTGAAAGACACTAATGCACTAAAGTCTGAAACCCACGTATAAACACACGTTCCAATTTCGAAACAGTAAACTGTAACCGTTTAACACAACCGCAGACACGTTCTGAATTTAAACGATCCAATGAGCCTGCGGTCGCGATAAACGGGCGATTTTCGAATTTCGAATAATTTCACATTATTAGGTGGGTGTCGGTTGGTAATAATGGATATTGGGCTTGAATTACATTCAATATTACATTTTTAATTATCTTTATTGTATATACAAAAAAGTACGTATTCACTATTAGTTTAAAAAAATATTTTTGAGACATAGTTATAATTTAGACACATATACATACGTACGATTAATTATTTTATTTATAAATTTCTTAGACTGCCAAAATAATAATCGAGCGTAGTGTAAATGTACACGTAATGTACATGTAAATGAGGTTTTCGGTAGGTATAATCTGCCTAAATTCAAACGTTAATAAAAAACTCACTTAACTAAAATTTAACAAATTTATATTAAGAATTCAACTTAAGTTACATTTAAATAAAACACATAACCACATTTATAACCTATTTGAACAACGGCCCGACGTTTTGGATGCTTTGTAGCGTGACCATGACTAGTTTAACTAATATATATCGCGTTTTAAACTGTTAATGTGTTTTATTGAGTAGTACTACTCGCGTAAACTAGAGACAGTATTAAATAAGTGTAGATTACCGAACAGATGATAAATATCTCGACACTACAAACAACAGACTAAATTACTATAACCTGTAGTAATGGTTTACAGATGTAGTTCACGCACCGTGTAACATAATAATGTCATCGTGTCGCGAACATTGCTATTCGGTTACAATAAATGGAAGCGAGCTCTAACGACGGATTACATAACAGACTAGTTGTGTCAGCGACTTCGTACGCGTAGAATAGTTATTTTCGGCATCTACATTTCTTCTTGCAAATCACATCTTCATCTTTATGAATTTAAGCCGTTATCCACGACGTCGTTTGCGTTCCTGCAAGTTAATCTTACAAAATAGACATATGGTGTCGCGGACATCTTTTTAGATCATGTAAAGAGGAATCATTCATATATATATATTTTTTGTAACTAGAACCTTTCTGTTTCTACGCTCCTATTAGTTACAGCGCGATGTTGTATAGCCTATATAACCTTTCTCGATAAATGTTCCAACAGATACAAAGGGTTTTTTCAATTTGAATTAGTAGTTCCTGAGTTTAGCGTTATAGATATATATATATATATAAGCGTTTTTAATAAGTTACATACTAAAATTACTAGTGAAAAAAAAATTGCAGAAATCTATTATAAAGCTGTATAACAAATGTACCTATATATTTACGATTTAAAGATACGATACTCATTTATAAAAAAAATATGATTTTTTTTGTTTAAACGCGCTAATCTCAGGAACTAATGGTGCGAACGAAAAAAATCTTTTTGTGTTGGTTAGAGCATTAATTGAGCATGGCATGGCAGATTGTGTCCAATAGGATCGAATAAATAGAGGGAAATGGGGTAAAATTTGCGTCTTTAAGGGCACTACGTGCGTTGTGAAGATATGAAAAACATACATATATGGGACATGTGTTCTTTTTTTAATAGAAAATGTCCACGATAGTATCTGTTAAGAAGACAATTTTGTGACTTTTTGGTTTCAGTCTGTGGATTTCCAAAAACTTTACGTTACATTCATAATTTTCTTCTGACACTTCTGATTTTTAGTACGATAACATACTAAAAATCGCCAAATAATGAAATTACAATAACAAAGCACTCCAATTTTATTTTCGAACAGAGTTATTTAATAAATGAAAGGCGAAATAATTTCCAATAAACCGGGCGTCCCCTTGGGAATCAATTATTTTCACACTTTCCCGCGTAAAAATGGCGTCCACACCGCGACACGGTCACAGTCTATGATTTAACGAGTTTCGGTTTATTAATATCCTACTGTTTTCCGTTACACGTTACTTTATCATTTTTAACTTTGCAATGCCCAGGATCAATATTACTTAACCTGGCTTTGTACATGGATAAGCTAAGATACTGAATACTCTAATACGACACTCCAAAAAGAAATTTGAAGGGCACATTACTAATGGTATTATTATTAACGGTATTCGTCGTGGGTTTGATTCTCGCCCAATTTAAATGTATAATTTTCCTGAAACATGATGGACTTTGTCCGAAAATCTGGATATTAAATGTTTGGTAGCAATATAGAAATTCCGTCCGGGTCACAAACCACAGATAAAGCTGTGACGCTTAATAGCGTTGATGTGTGGATTGCGTGGATTTCCGAGTATCCAAAGCCAAAATAGGTCGACAGTGCAACTTGTTTAGATGCTATAGGCTGTATATCACCTACAATCAAGTGAATCCGTGCTTGTCTGTCCTCCATCTATGTTCGTCAAAGCCTGTGCCATGGCTTCCTAGATTTACAAATTAAAGAAATTTAAAAACTAACGTATGTGTAAGTGACATCTAGTTTCTCCTAAATGGGGACAAATTTATTGTTTTCCTAGCATTATGTAAGTGCAAGTTC